ATAATGTATCTTAAAGGTATAATTTCCAGTAAATTTTTACTGAAGATTTTGCTATATTCATAAAACTTAGCTAATAGAAGTCTTCTTATGGAGCTGATACATGGGTGAGTGACTTGCTGTTCTCTATACTGTCTCTCTGATGAATTCTTTGATGCACAGTAAGGCTTGAGCTACTCCTGAAGGCTTTTCCACATGCATTACATTTGTAGGGTTTTTCTCCAGTATGCATTCTCAGGTGTACAATGAAGTCTGAGTTAGTTCTGAAGGCTTTTCCACATTTTTCACATTTGTAGGGCCTCTCTCCAGTATGGATTCTCTGATGTAGAGTTAGCTGTGAAAGTGTAATACAACTTTTTCCACATTCCTTACAGGTATAGGGCTTTTCCCCAGTATGTGTTCTCCAATGTACAGTGAGGTATGAACCCCTCCTGAAGGTTTTCCCACAGACATCACATTTATAGGGCTTTTCTCCACTATGAATTTTCTGATGTTCTGTGACATGCACCATCTGGCTAAATGCTTTCCCACACTCATTACATTTGTATGGCTTCTCTCCAGTATGTGTTCGCTGATGAGTATTGAAGCCAGAGTTACTTGTAAAAACCTTCCCACACTCATTACACTTGTAGGGTTTCTCTCCCGTGTGCCTTCTTTGATGTACAGTGAGCTGTGATGTATTAGTGAAAGCTTTCTCACATTCATTACATTTATATGGTTTTTCCCCAGTATGTGTCTGCTGATGCACAATAAGGTATGACTTAGTCCTAAAGGACTTCCCACAATTGTAACATATATAGGGTTTCACTCCAGTATGAATTTTCTGATGCTCCTTGAGATTTACCATTTTAGTGAATGCTTTCTCACAATCAGTGCACTTATAAGGTTTTTCCCCAGTATGGATCCTCTGATGTACAGTTAAGTGCGATTTTATTCTGAAGGATTCTCCACATTCATTACATAAATAAGGTTTCTCTTCAGTATGAATACGCTGATGTATGATTAGAGATGAAGAACGCATAAAAGCTTTTCCACATTCATTACATTTAAAGGGTTTTTCTCCTGTATGCACTCTGTGGTGTACAGTAAGGCATGAATAATTAATAAATGCTTTTCCACATTCATTACATTTATAAGGTTTCTCTCCTGTATGAATTCTCTGATGTTCTGTGAAGTTTGCTATGCAGTTGAATGCTTTCCCACATTCATTACATTCATACGGTTTTTCTCCTGTATGAGTTCTGATATGTATAATAAGGCTTGAATTACTTTTATAGGCCTTCCCACATTCATTACATCTAAAGGGTTTTTCTCCAGTATGAATTCTCTGGTGAACATTAAAAATTGTGGTATTCTTGAAAGATTTCCCACATTCATTGCATTTGTATGGTTTCTCTTCAGTATGGGTCTTCTGATGTACACTAAGATATGACTTACTCCTAACGGCTTTTCCACAGTCGTTACATTTGTAAGGTTTCTCATCATTGTGAGTTTCTTGATGTCTTGCAAGTTTTGATTTATCACTAAAAGCTTTCCCACATTTACTACATTTATAGGGTTTTTCTCCAGTTTGAATTTGTTGGTGTTGATTAAGGTGGGCACACTGACTAAAGGCTTTTCCACAGATATTGCATTGATAAGGTTTTTCCTTAGTATGAATTCTCTGATGTACCATAAGTGATGAAGAAGCAATGAAGGCTTTTCCACAATCCTTACATTTATAGGATTTTTCTCCTGTGTGAATTTTTTTATGCTGACTAAGATATGAAAGCTGGCTGAATGTTTTTCTACATTCATTACATTCATAAAGTTTATCTTTAGTGTGAGTTTTCTGATGATGAATGAGTAATGACTTATAACAGAAGCCCTTTTCACATGTAGTACATTTATAGGACTTTTCTTTGTCATTAAATGTTTTTCCTAAAGTAAATTCTGTGATGTGCCTTAGAGTCTTGTTACCATCTATATTCTTATAAATTATCTTCCCAAAATGGGCATCTGTAATAAAATCTAAACTCTCTGTGAAACTTTCTTCATGTCTTTGGTATTTTCCAGGGGTCTCTTCTTTAATCATTCTTGGTTCTGGAAAAAGCAGATCCAAATCTGAAGCTTCTTTGACCAGAGGTAATTTTCTCGTGTGTTATCATTCTTTGACTCAAATGGCTCTCCTGCATATTCTGCAGTCTCAAAATTCTGTCACTCCACTTCCACAATCCTCCCATTGTGGAATCCCATAGACCATTCTCTCTGAGTTTCTCTACTATAATCTCTTGTAGTAAACCTTCAAAAATACCCTCCATTAGCACAGCATTTTTGGTTGTAAGTTTGGTCTCCAAGTCTAGAGGGAAAAAAGAGAAAAGTCAAATAATTCTCATTTCTTAAACTGGAGAAATCTCAGTAAATATGATTAATAAAAAATGAAAAATGAATCTTTAGTTTTAATTGCCTACCAGCTGGCCTTATTTTCTAGGCAGTATTAAGGAACAGTGGTTGAGCAAAGAACAAAAGTAGCAAAGTTAATGAGATTTTTCTCTTTTTAAAAAATCATTCAAGGGGCTGGGGAGATGGCTCAGTGGAATAAGTGCTTCCCTGGCAAGTGCAAGGGCCTGAGTTCAATCCCTGGTTCCGCCAAAAAAATAAAAAATAAATAAAAAAAAATCATTCAAGGGCTGGTGAGATGGCTCAGTGGTCTAAAGCACCTACTTAGAACAAGCTTAGCAAAGCACAGGGACTGCAGTTCAATCCTCCAGCACCACATGCCAGCCAGCCCCGCCCCCTAGTGGGCTGAGCTGGCCACACACACACACACACACACACACACACACACATAAATAAAATAAAAAAAGAAAAACACTTTAAAAAATAAAAAAATCATTCAAAACTCACTTTGCATTCTATGCCTCTCTAATATTTTTTCTTTCTCCTTCACTTTAGAGCCAACTGCTACAGAATGCATACTTCATAAATTGACACTATTCCTTTCTTTTCACTTAGCTTACAAATCATGTATCTACTTGACACTTTCCTTATATTTGTTGTTATTCATGCTCTAAAGGCTTTTGCAATATTCCCCAGAACAACAGTTCCTTGGAAAAAGTTTATTCAGATATGTTTATATATTAATTTTTGACAATATTGGAGGTTAAATCCAGGTCTTCTGCACTGAACTATAACTGTATTATTTTGAGGCAGCATCTTGCTAAGTGACTCAGATTGGGATGAAACTTGCAATTCTCCTGCTTTTAGCTTCCTAGAGTGCTGTGATTATAGCCATGCAACACCACTCCCAGCTTTTATATAATTTTAAATAAAACTTTATAGAGAAATACAGTTTTTTTTTTTTATAACGGGCAGTTGCCGACATTTCAAATAGTATTAATTTTCCTAAGGCTTGGCAATGATTTTATGGGTTCTAAGAATGTTTCTGACAATTTTTCAACAATTCATTAAAAAAATTCTAGTGCAGTATGTGGTCTTATGACTTGTCTATATGGGCAATTTAATATTTTTGAAAGTTATATGAGTTTTAATTGATTTTCATGTAACGATGCCTTAATATTTAATACAAATTGCATCAAAATCTTTTGTAGTACAATGATTTTTATGACTTTATAACTTGTACTGAAGAGCAGGGTGTGGTGGTGCATGCCTGTAAGGAGGCTAAGTCAGGAAGACTGCTATGAGTTTGAGGCTAGCCTGGGCTACATAGAGAAACCGTGTCTTGAAAAACAAACAAAAGAAAAAAGAAACTTGCATTTAAGTATTAAAATACATTATTCCTTTTACTTTTTATTTTTTCATTATTCCTTTTATAAAATTTAAATGAACTGTGTCATGTTAATTTAAATCTTTTTTCATGTATATTTCAAGTATTTTAATTATTTTGAGCATAATTTTGATTGTCCTAAGAGATTATATTGCCCATATCTGGCAGAAAAATTTTGTGTCAGAATAAAAGCTAAGAAAACACATTTTTTTAACAGCAATTTGGAAATGTAAGAACTAATTAATTCAAAATGTCAAAAGGAAATGCATCTGGGAAGTGAATAAATCTGGTATAAAATGCTGTAAAATTCTAAAAGCTTACCATGTAGAAACATAATTATTATGTTAATTAGCAATTAGAAGTTTTCTTTAATAAATGTGCGTGCAGAGACTTTACTGATATATGTAAGCTAATGTCTCAACTTCTTTGAAAGAAAAATATCACTCCCAAACAAGAGCAAAAATAATCTTTCATATGTTAGAGAATTACTCCTTTGCAATGACAGACTAAGTAATCTAGACTAACATTATTACTGAGAATAATCAGAAGAGTTGGACAAAATATAGAAACAAAGTCATTTTTGAAAGTATCTGAAAGTTACCAAGGCTTAAAGAATTAGAAGAATGAAACTCCCAGAATGGATCCTGGTATTTGATATTCTTTTTTCCTACAAATAAATCTTAGTGGTCTAAGAAGTGGCTGAGAGACAGAATATATAAACCAAACTTTCAATGGACTCTTGGACAAGACAGACATAGTAAATTTCTGGCCACGAAAGTGGAAAACTCTGGAACTTCCAGGGTTTGGCTGGAACCTGAAGATTATTTACTCTAAGTTCAGAATGATTAAAAATACACCAACTTCCTGAAGTAATGAGACCCAGATAATTTAAATAACAGTTTAATTAAGATGACTGAGGAATATTAGAGCTTCTAGCTAATCCTATAGAATTAAACATTAATCTTCTATTGGGGAAAGCTACACAATTGAGAGCCTCAAGTTGTTGTGATAGGTTTCATAATTAATGCCTGACAAGAAAAAAGCCAGATATATACAGAAAGAAAAATGAGAAGAGGAAAAAAAAGAGTAAGACAAAGAGATCTAAAATGAATTCAGATAATTGATACCACAGACATAACTTTATTTTAATTTAACTTAATTTACTTTTATTTCATTTTTATTCATTTTAATGAGAAAAAGATAAAATAGCAATGAAACAGTTTCAGAACAGGTTAGTAGAACAGCTACAACACAGACATAACTTTTAAATAGTCAAGACAAGTACATTTAAGAAAATAAGATAGGGCTGGCAAGATAGCTCAGCAGTCTAAAGCTTTGGCAAGCTTAGGCAGACACAGAGCACTGCAGTTCAAACCACAGCATCACATGCAGTGCCAACTCTGCCTGAGGATGGGATGAGCTGGCCAAAAAAGTAAGATAACAATGAACAATTTCATCAAAGCATTAGGAGTAGAAAATAACCAAATGGAAACTCCAGAATTGAGAACTAAGTTAAGAACTCAAAATTTGGGCTAAGAGTACAATAGATACTAGCATACAAGAGCATCACAACAAAATAGAAAATAGGTCAGTAGAAATATTCAATATCAAAGAACAGAATGTTAAAAACACTTAAAAAGCATAATAAACACATAATATAGAATGAAAATGTATACTATAGATGTAATCAGAGTCCTACAAAGCTAGAAAGAGTAGTGAAAATGAGAATTGGATGAAATAATACCTGAGAATTTTCCAAAATGGATTAAAAAAATAAAGTGACAAATTTTAGAAGCCAAATGAATTTCAAATATGAGAAATAAAGAGAATACTACATTAAAACACATAGGAAAATGGCAGAACACCAAATTAAAAGTAGTCACAGGGAAAAGAGATTTCTTTGAAGTAGTAATAATTAGATAAGAGGTTATAAACTATAGCCAAATCTAGTCTAATATTTTTGCACATTTTTACATTTTTAAATGATTAAAATATATCAAAAAAGGGTCAGCCAGATAGCGCAGTGGACTAGAGCACCTGCTTAGGCAGAGTGCAGTGGCCAGTGTTTGATCCTTGGCATGATGTGCCAGCCCCACCCCAGGGGCATGCTGAGACATTGATTGATACTTGGCATAGTGGTGTGCGCCTGTAATCCCAGTGCTTGGGAGGCTAAAAACAGGAGGAACACTGCAAGTCCAATCTATGTAGTGAGACCCTGTACCAAATATATTTGAGAGAGAGAGAGAAAGACAGAGAAAGAGAAATAAAACCATATTCATTGGTTCATGTATTATCTGTGATGCTTTTGTGCTATAATAGCAGATAGAATAGTTACAACAAAGACTTTAAAGCCCTACTTCTATAATTTAGATCCTGAATATTTCGAAAGCCCCATTTGTTGAACATTTGGTTTCTAGCACCATGTTTTAAGCTGGGAGGTATTGTAAATTTAGCAGATAGGGCCTACAGGAAGGAAGTTAGGTCACTGGTGTATGTTCTTAAAGAGAAATAGGATCCTGGCCCCTCCATGTTTTCTTTCCTTGATACTGGATACCAAAGGTTATTAGCTTTTTCAACATATGTTTATATCCTAACATCAGGTATAGCCTTGTCATAGGCCCATAAGTAATGGGCAAACCAACAATATACTAAACCCCCAGAAAGTATGAGCTAAAAAGAAAACTTTCACATCTTAAATTGATTTAGCTCAAGTATTTCTTAGTGGTTATATGTTAACTGTTAACATCCACAGAGTCTAAGATATTTGCTGCTTTTCCTTTACATATGAAGTTTACTAATTTCTCAGTCAGATAGATGACTGACTCCCCTGAAGATTCAATGTAAGACAAAAAGGATGAGAGGGCACCTTCACAATGTTTGAAGAAAACAAATGCCAATCTAGAATTCTAAACTTACCAAAAATAATAAATAA